CCTGGCCTACTGCACAGGTGAGCGAGCCGCGCCTCCCACCCGAGCCCGCATGGGCCCCTGGGCCTGGAGCGCCCTCCCTGACTCGTCCCTGTGTCCCCGCAGATCCCACCTCCGTGGAGGGGACCTGTGAGGAGTGCGGTATGGACGAGGACTGCATAGCGAACGACGGCAGATGGCACTGCCGGTGCAAACAGGACTTCAACATCACTGGTGCGCGAGGCCGGAGGCCAGCGGGGCGGCTGGCGGTGGGGTGGGACCCCGGGTAGCACCCAGAGCACCGTGTCGGACGCGAGCGCGTAGGGACGGGCTGCCGATACCCACGGAAACTGGCAGGGAGCGCCCTGGGCTTCCGCAGGTGAGCCAGAGCCCTCAGGGACCTCGGGTCCACTCAGTGCCAGAGGCTCCCGGGCCACCCGCAGCTCAAACGACCACCATCCAGGACCCCAGGCAAGGCATCCGCCCTCTCGGAGCCTTAGTTTCATCTGAACAGTTACTGAAAATGGCCGATCAAATGATGATGATGTTGTCACACCCTAATGGCATTTTACAGCTTTGCTTTATCCAGGCACTGGCTATGCTGTGATTTTGTTGACTGAATTTTCTTCAAATCGAGTGAACCCTTTCTTTTAATTTAATGTAGGGCGTTGATGGTCACTACCACAGCAAATAATGCTCATCCTTGGTTAATTGTAAAAATATGTGAAAAGAAAGTTACTGAATTCCAACAATATTTAATACTTCAATAAAATGATTCTTTAAATACTCAAGATGAAAAATATTTTAATAGTTTAAAAAATTGTAGCTGGTTGTCACAGCCTACCACAAACACTGAGCCAGAGGCCTGCTCTCTAAGAGGAAATTAAGTTAGGTGGGGTGGCACACACCTATAATCACAGCAGTCTGAGAGGCTGAGGCAGGCCAATCTCAAGTTGAAGCCCAGCCTGGGCAACTTGGTGTGACCCTGTGTCTCCCCAAAAGAGGGAAATTAACAAGTATACATTATTAAAGACATCAGCAGCAAGTGAGAAATGTGTCCTTCACATATAAAGGAAGGGTGGAAAGAAATTGTGTTTAAATTTCTTTTCTCTTTTTTACTGGGATACAATGCCATGCCAGTGAAGGACGCCAAAATCATCCTGCATTTTGTATATAATCCATTCCTGAGGGACACAGAGTAAAACCACTGGGTCACCCGGTGATGCTGAGACTGCAGCTCTGTCCTCATCACTGTGCGGCAGGGACATGAGTGTCCCAGGGTTGCTCTGAGCTGAGCACCCCCAGCTGGTAACAGACCCAGCCGGCTCTGCCTGTCCCTGAGGATGTGGGTGCAAGAGCTGCAGACGCAGACCCCGCTCCTGCCTTCCCCTGCCATTTCAGATGTCTCCCTCCTGGAGCGCAGGCTGGAGTGTGGGGCCAATGACATCAAGGTGTCCCTGAGCAAGTGCCACCTGAAGAACCTGGGCTTCCAGAAGATCTTCATGTACCTGCGTGACAGCCGCTGCTTCGGCTTCATGGAGAAGGGCGAGCGCAGCTGGATGTCTGTGGTGACCCCAGCCCGGGAGGGTCCCTGCGGGACAGTGCTGACCGTAAGCGCTGGCCAGTGTGGGCAGGGTCAGGGCACGGGCTGGCTAAGCCTCAGGTCATTCAGCCTGGCTGTGCCTCGGCTGCTGTGCTGTAGAATAGAAGAATAACAGAATCCACTCCAGAAGGGCGTTGGGCAGGCTGAAGGAGTCCGGGTGCCTGAGGTGACCTGGGCAGTGGCTGGCACCTCGTGAGTGACCAGTGAGTGTCAGCTTTGAACACAGAGGCTTACTTGAGGTGATGGTCCTCATTTCACAGATGGCAGAAGGCTAAACAGCAGCGACTGTGTCTAGCAAGTCAGGGGCACCAGCAGGATGGGAAGGGAGGCTGTGGTTCCCCGCGGTCCTGAGAGGCTGGGTCTTTTCCACTGGCAGAAATCTTCCTCTGCCGAGGCCCTTTCTCATGGGAGCCAGAGGGAAGTGTTTGAGAGTGCAGCCTTCCTGCCTTTGCCTCCTTCAGCCCCCAGAGAGAAAGGAAAGAAGGAAAAGAAAGGAAGAAAGAAATCGCTGTCCTCTCCCAAGGATGGTGTGTGAAATTCCATTAGGAATAACTTGGCACCTGGATTCTTAGGCTTGGAGGAAGGCGAGAGCCTGGGTGGCTCAGGTCTCCTATTCGTCTCTGTCATCTCCATGTCTGGGGATGTGGCACCCTCCTCCTAGGGCCATTGAGGGGCTACTGCCATGGTGTAAGAGAAGAGCTAGCTCAGGATCTGGCACAGGACACGTGCTCCTAAGTGGTCACTGCTGCTGTAGCTTTTTATCCCAGACACCGGGAGGGCAGCTGCCAGGTGGCCGGAGACAAGTGCTTTGGCTTTAAGTTCCTGCTCAGATTCTCAGGTCCCCTTCTCCCTTCCTCACCCCTATTCAGAGGAATGAAACCCACGCCACCTACAGCAACACCCTGTACCTGGCCAATGAGATGATCATCCGTGACATCAACATCAAAATCAACTTTCAGTGCTCCTACCCGCTGGACATGAAAGTCAGCCTGAAGACTTCCCTGCAGCCCCTAGTCAGGTGCGGCCAAGCAGGGCCTCCGGGGCTCCTGGATGGCTCCGCCCCACAGCCCTTCACCCTTGGGGTCCCCAGTCACCCTGCCAACTGCCACCCATGGGAGCTGTGAGTGGGGCAGGAGGCAGCATCGCTTGGCGGGTGAGCCCACCGAGGGATCCTGGAGCCCAGATTGAAGTCTGGGTCCCACCCTGTCCTAACCTGTTGGCTTTGGGTGGTGGATTAGGCAGTGTTATCTGTGAAATTCTGTCAATCACACATTGGCGGCTCTGGCTTTTCAGATGAGTGGGAGATTGGGCTGGAGGGAAGCGGGGTCTTGGTCTAGCCTTGCTCTGGGACTGTGGCACATCACATTTCATACTGAAACCTCCATTTCCCTTTGTTTCTGTAATGTCTGATTAAAGAGGCATTTACAAGTTATGATCCTTGGGGGGATGTGGTGGAGCAAGGGAGGTGTCTCGTTGCGGTAGGGGGTGTAAGGAAGTTCCACTCCTGTGGGCGCTATGGGAGGCTTTATTAGTTTTGTTTTTTTAAAGGATTCTGTTGCTAAATATAGTTGAAAGTCTCAATAGAATAGATCATAGGCCAATGATGCTAATGTCAGGAAAAATAATAGTTGTAATAATATCTAGCATTTCTTGAGAGCTCACTATAAGTCAGGCTTGTGTTATGCAGTCTGCATGGACCATCTCATTAAAATCTGCCCTAGCAGATACAGAGATGATTATTATTTCTATTTTACTGATTGGAAAGTGAGGCTCAGAGAAGTTTACGTAACGTGTCAAAAGTTATGAAGTCTAGAAAGTGGCAGAACTGGGATACAAACGTTAGGACCAGAGCCCTCACGCCACCATGACCTTAACTTTGAAGCTTGCTCGTGGCTACATGTTCTTGGTCAGCCGACTCAGGGGCAGGGGCTAGGCACTGACTGCCTTGGAGGAAGAAAGGTGCATATGCCAGGCCTCTGGGCAGTGTGCCTCTTGGTCAGGCAGGGTCCTGGAGCAATATGGCCATGATTGGGGAGGTACCAGGGAGCAATACATCTCTGGGCAAATCAGAAATCGCACCGCAGCCCAACTACTAATCCATTTTTCACCTGTAGTATAGTGTCACCGAGTGTCTCTCATGTACCTTATTGTGTGACATCCATCTTCACCACTTGGTGAAGTCCACACAAGTGTGGCTATTTCTAATGTGGTTAAAAGTAACCCATTTATAAAACCCAGTCTTCTAACGTAGGTGTTGGTAAACCACGACAGAGCCTTGGGACTCAAGCCTGCCTGACTCACAGTAGTTTTCTCCTGTAACCTGCCAGAGATTGAGCCTAAGGAAAGAACATAGTTGATTCCCTCAGAATTTGTTCCATCTGGAAGGCTTACACGGGGAAACAAGGGCCACCAGCTGATGGACTGGCCATTACTAGAAGGACATTTCTAGCGGTGATCTATGGGCCCACAATACTTGCACCTCCGAGAGCTTCTTAGAGATGCAGAACTTTAAGCCCCATTCCAAACCTACTCAATCGGGACCTGCATTTTCACACAACCCCAAAGCAATAAAAAGGCACATGATTGCAAGGGACTGTCCAGACATGTCGACTAGAAAGGGCAGTCACCCCCCGGTGTTCTCAGCTGGGCGCTCTCACCAGCCCCTCTCTCCTGCAGCTCCCTGAATATCAGCGTGGGTGGAACGGGCCTGTTCACTGTGCGGATGGCGCTTTTCCAAAGCCCTGCCTACACACAGCCCTACCAAGGCCCCTCGGTGACACTGTCCACTGAGGCCTTTCTCTACGTGGGCACCATGCTGGATGGAGGTGACCTGTCCCGCTTTGCACTGCTAATGACCAACTGTTATGCCACACCCAGTGGCAATGCCACAGACCCCACAAAATACTTCATCATCCAGGACAGGTAAGGCAGTGGTTCTGGTGGGGGAGAGCCTGTGGAGGGGACCTGGGGTCTTTGGACTTGGAAAGAAGGGTTCATCTCCCGCTTCACCACCATCTAGCTGAAATCTAGCATTCCCTCCTGTTTACAGGGATAAGCCACAGAAGGGTTTGCATGGCATATAAAACCTTTTCCCCTCAATACATCTTAGTTACTGTAGTATTAAAATTTCCACTAGATTATTTAATGCCTTATCAAATATGTCATATTTGCAAATAGATTTTTTACATCTAACCTATGCAAATATACAAAAGATATATTAAATGTTTCAATTTCTAAAAAGGTACTTCCATTTAATTGGTTTCCTATGTCATCTTTAAAATATTTTCTTGCATGCATTGGGAAACATTATATTTGAGGGGGGTGGATGTACAAGGAAGGGCCAAAGGGGTTCATGACTCAGAAGATGTGAGAAATTTTATGGGAGGGCAGAGCCACAGGAGCAGACAGCCTGGCACCCTGCCGGGAGGAGGAAGGGGTGGGCACGGTCAGCCAATGACCAGTTGGAGCTGGGAGGACAGAGGTGCCCTCCCTTTTATCAGGAGGCATTCAGTAACCGTGACCCACACTGTGCAAAGTACATCTTCCTTCATACTTCGAGCAGATTACCACGGAGGCCTGCCGTGCACCAGACTCTGAGGGTACTGACTTCCCTCATACGGTTTATATTCAGAAGGGAAGACTGGTCATCAAAGGGAAACGAAATGCATAGAATGTCAGTGCCAAAGGCAACTACGGAAAACAAAGCAGGAGAAGGGAAAGGACATTCACAGTTTTACTAGAGAAAGCATCCCGGACAGCTGTGACCTGTCCATCCCAGTTTCAGATCTAGAAGGGAGTTTCCGTTCCTTGAAGGGAAATTCTCCCCTGCGTGCCAGTCTGATGTTCATACCTCTCTGTTATGTGGCATCTCCTTTTGCAATAAAAAAGGAAGCAGAAGTCTGTTCGAGGGCCATTTGCAATGAACCATTTCTAACTAAAACTGAATCACATTCTCTTGTTCGCCCTGTGGTCTTTAGTATGGTCGCGTTCTGTTTATGGCAGCTGATACTGGCAACCTGACTGCCACTTGCGGTCATGACCTAAAGACTCTTCTAGAAAATAAAGGCATTTCAGTAAAAAATGTAAGTGGACTTAGAGAAAAAGAGAAAGCAAATTATGGCAAATGTTCATCAGGGTGGCATCTAGATAAGGCAGAAAGAAGCGGAACTTGGAAAACCTTGATCCGATCTTGGATGTGGTATCGCAGAGATCTGGGTGCAGTTCTTGGCTTTGCTAAGTCTTTCTTCCGAGATGCCAATCAGCTGATCTCTCTGGATATTAATTTCCTCAGATATGACAAGTGATACTCTGCAGGGAGTTTTAAACCTGTTTTCACTGAGTGTAAAAGAACAGCGGGCCTGTGGTGGAAAGATCAGGAAGTTTGAAAAAAGAGGCAGGAAGCAATTCAGAGCATGGGTGTACATTTTGGTCTGGGAGTGCAGGGAACCTGGGCTGAGGACCACCGGCTTACGAGGGGGTCAGAGCCTCAGCCCCTACCGTCACCTCTTGTGTGAAGAGGAGAAGGGAGTGGCTGTGGGGGACCCCCTGACGCCCTGCTTGGGTTGGATGCTTGGGACACCCATGACTATGTCGGCTCTTCTCTCTGCCTTTTGGGAGAAGGGTCAGTTTAACCTCAGGGATTTTACATTGCTGATCAGAGTTTGCCCTTTTAGGGTGAGACCTGAATCGTGGGGGGCACAGGGCAGAGGGTGAATGCCATCCTGGCCGTTCCTTTCTTAGTTCTTGAGACTGACATTCAGCCTCTCTTTGAAATGAACTTTGAGCAAAAGGTGTGAAGTAGGCAGAGAGGGCACTGGACACCTGGTTTGCCCGCCCTGGGTGTCTGGGCACACGGTAAGCGTGTTGCTATTCTGAGATTTTCGTCACGTGTCCAGATGCCTTGTGCATGCACACTCCCGTCTGGTCAACGCCTTTCACTTCTTTGGGGTTTCCATTGTGGTAACAAGCACACTGCAGACAGCACATAGCAGCAGCTAACGGTTCCAGAATGCCATTGCCCGGGAAATCACAGAGTGACTATTTGACAGTTTCAGTTCTGTGGTAAACACTTTTTTTGTTTTAACATTAACCATAGATAGCACCTATTAGGTGCTGCGTCCTGTTCTCAGCACCTTGAAAAATTAACTAACCGAATCCTCATAAATATCTTCTGATGTGGGCTACAATCACCACCACCTTGTAGAGAGGAGAAAGCTGAGGCACAGGGTGTGTGTCAAGGCCGTACACGCGATCCGGAGTAGCGTGGTGTTCGAACCCAGGAAATCTGAACACAGAGAACCGGCTTCACCAACTGCATCCTGTGACAAAATCTGTCCCTCACCAGGTGTCCGCGCACTTCAGACTCCACTATTCAAGTGGCAGAAAACGGGGAGTCTCCGCAGGGCCGATTTTCTGTCCAGATGTTCCGGTTCGCTGGAAACTACGACCTCGTCTACCTGCACTGCGAAGTGTATCTGTGCGACATCCTGAAGGAGAAATGCAAGCCCGTGAGAGCCCCCTCAGCCCGCTGGTCCCACCCCCGTCCTACAAGCAAAGGCCATCATTTCTGCTGTGCTTTCCTTTTTAGCTTCAGCAAGGAGGAGCAGTGCATGGGGTGGATGTAGCAGACGGGAGACCCGGGAACTCAGGGTCAGGGATTGTGTGCCGGGCTGGCCGGTAACCTCCCTGGTTTATCTGCAAGCTTATCTTTGAATTGTAGGGACACATGTGTGCCTCGGTGTGTTAGCATTTTACTGCATCACAGGAACTCTGTAAGCGAGTTTATAATACACATATAAGGAAGTTAGGAAAGCGGCCCCAAATCCTGAGCAGGGAGATTCTAAGCAGAGATGGTAAGTGACTTGTCTGCGATGGTAACAGATGGTACAGCTGGGACATGATCTCTTAACTCTTACGTGCCTCTGCGGCCCAGGCAGGAGGATGAGCACAGCCCTCTCCCTACCCCGTCCCTGAGAGAAGGCTGTCTCTCTCATCCCTCCCTGCAGAGCTGCCCCGGGGCCAGATTCCGAAGTGGGGTCTTCATAGACCAATCCCGGCTCCTCAACTTGGGTCCCATCACACGGAGAGGTGAGAGAGCGGCTCCCCGCTCCTAGCTCCCAGCTGGATAGGGGAACGGGGTTTCACTGTGGACTAAAGAACTGGGTGCAGCTGACTCCCCATGCGTTTATTCGTTGCACAGATAGATGGGTTTTCTGTGCCCACGGCGCACCAGAACTGGTACTGGTGGTTGGAGATCTTGTGAGCAGCAGAGGAACAGGGAGTTCACAGATCCGTGGGAGAGATGTTTTCAAGCAATCCCACCTAGGTGTTTATAAAATGTAGCAATGAAAATGTCAGAGGCTCTGGGCTCTGATGACAAGGGAACCAGACCCCGTCTGGGGGCTGGGGAAGAATTTGGCTGAGATTTGGAAAGTGAAATGGCATCAACCAAGGGCGGACCAGGAACGGGGAGCAGAGGGAGGGAATTCCAGGCAGATGGTATAGCAAGAGCAAAGGGCCTGTGGTAGGAGGGGCCCGGTCTGCTGGGGGACTGAGGGAAGACCAGGTGGTCTGGGCTGAAGAAGCGAAGCCAGACAGTAGGAGCCTGTGGCCCTGGCTAAGGCTTTCAGGCTTTTTCCTGAAAGCACTGGGGAGGCCCTGCAGCTTCCAAAGCACAGGAGGGCTTGATCAGATTCGAGGTTCGGCAAGATCCCTCCGCCTGCTAGAAGAACAGAGGGAGGGGTACTGTCTCGGGCTCCCTGCCAGCCTCAAGCCTTCCCTTCTCACGGGTCCTTCTGCTTCCCCCCTCAAAGGTGCCCAGGCCACAGTCTCGAAGGCCGCTTCCAGCAGCTTGGGTAAGTCCGGGCCACTTCTGCTCAGGGACCTGCTCCAGAGCGCTGCTGCCTGAGCTCAGTGTACTGAAGGGCTGGCCTAGCTGGGGGGGCGGGGGGACGCGGAAGAGGCGATTTGTCCGTGGAGACGCCTGGGCCTGGACCTGTGTGCTCCGCTCCAGTCGTCTCACAGCCACGGCACACAGACGGGTGTAAGAATTCGGAGCACCTAGACGTGTTTGCACACATGAGTGCTTTGATATGTGCAGGTGCACACACAATGGTGTGCACGTGCACACTTATCACAAACCAGTCCCCAAGAATGTGCTTGGACCCTACTGCTGCCCTGGGCACGCCCTGCAGCTCTGTGGTTCAGACAGACACCTTTCTCAGAATTTGTCAATAGGTGACGAATATTTGTTGAAGTCCATTATGTGCCAGAAACCACGCTTCGTTCTGGGTGATTACATCAGGCAAACTCAGTTTCCCTCACTCCTGTCTTCTCAAAACACAAAGACCGGGGACTGGTGACATTTTCATGACCTGTGATTTTCACGGCTCCTAAACTGTCTGAAAATCTAGGTGGAAATTTCACGCAACCATTGCCTGTCTTGGTTCTTGGCGCCCAGATCCAGGGGATCCTTACACTGTCCTGGAGTTTGTCCTGAGCTGGTTCAGTCAAGATAAGTGAGCTCACAAGTAGAGTGATGGTATTCGTAAGGTGCTATCCCTCTGTGAAAATCCACCAGGGTCTCTCAGGATGGTTGAACAGGTTGGACACTGCACAAGGGTGCCCTATTGAGGAGGTACCAAGCCCAGGGCCAGAGGAGAGACTGCGTTTCTCAAAGTAGTCCATTTTGGAGGTCACCTTTTTCTATTTTCCCACTTAAAGGGGGCATCTTTTTCTCACTGGTCTTCAGAGCAGATGGAGAACAGGCTTCTTTTTCTAGTCGCTGAGCCCAGAGAGGGCATTCTTGCCAATTGCTCAGGACGTAGGAGGCGCCTGGTGTTAATTTGCACAAAAGCACACCCTTGCTAGCAGTGGTCCAAGAACTGCTTTCCTTTCAGGGCTCCTGAGGATCTGGCTGCCTCTGCTTCTCTCGCTGACCTGGACCTTGACACTTCAGTGATCAGGGGTGTGAAACCCTGTGCTGCGTGGCTCCCAGCTCACTTCCTGCCGGCCAGGAGGGGAGGTGCCGGGGGGTGCGTGCCCTTCACCAGCCTGCTCGTATTTGCACCCCTCTATCCCTGCTTTGGACAGACAGCCCATGTCATTCAGTACTGCTCGCTCTCAGGATGGGACTTGTGACTTGCCTGCACGTGAGGCCTTGTCTCCTTAAAGAGTGTGGCATAATGAAAATTAAAGAAAAAAACACCTTTGAAGCCATTCGCTGAGTGAACACATATTTACTGAGTATCTGCTAGACATGGACACTGGTGCAGAGGATCCTGGGGCGCGGGCAGCCCCTTGGAGAGCAGGCCATACGCCCAGAGAAACAAGTTCAACCCAAGTTCCACTGTGAATTTCCCCCAGGGTCTCTCAGGATGGTTGACTAGGTTGGACACTGCACAAGGGTGCCCTGTTGAGGAGGTACCAAGCCCAGTGCCAGAGGAGAGACTGACTAGAGAATCTTCTTAGAGAAGATTCAGAATGCCTGAGCTTCATCCGTCTGCCCATTCACTTACCCATCCACTGACTTTTATCCACCCATTCATTGATTCAAGGCACCGGGCACTGCGCTTGATGCTAGAGACATAGCAGGGAACACGATAGACACAGCAAACAGATCACGCAATGCCTGGCCTCCCCTGAGGCAGAAACTCTGGCCTTCGTCCAGCGGGAATGGAGAGTTTGACAGGTGGCTGGCTGTTTCTACATAATATGGCGATGCCCTCCAAGGGGTCGTTCAGTTTTCCAGAAATACTCTGGAGGACTTCAGTTGTGCAGGCCCTGTGCTAGGTGCAGGGAACTATGGGTAGGAGACAGTTCGGCCTTCACAAATCTCCCAGTCCTCAGACGTGATAAGCACGGCCATGTCACACACCTGGCACAGCCTCAGGGCCTCTTCCAGCATCAGACGTCTCCCGCTCTAGGAGAGAGCAGACTGGCACTCCCCGTGGTGGGGAGGCTTCACCAGCAGGAGCGGGGGGCCCAGGACACCCGCATCTCCCAAGGGTCTCTTGCACCTTCCCGCCAAGGGGGCAGAAAGACGCTGGTGTCCATGGGAACTCTCTGCCCTGGCCCAGCTGCTTCCCTGAAGCCAGCTGGGGCCCGTCCAGCACAGCCAAGGCCTGTGGGAACCCAGGGAAACACACATGTGTGTACCTGTGAAGGAGGCTGCGGGAACAGCGTGTCTTAGATAGGGGACCTCTTATCACACGCGGACTGGCGCCGAGGGTACATCCTGCTGCCTTTCCGCAGGACCCACACTCCCACGCCGGTGTGTGGCCAGTTGGGCCCCTCGACTAAGTGTGGATTCAGCTGTGCTTCCACGACGTAGGTACAGCAGAACACCAGGGGAAAATCAGAGCCGAGAGAAACAAAAACTAGGGCCAGGAAGGAGAGGCAAGGGCAAAGAAAATCCATTCTTTTGTCCCCTTTTCCTAGTATTTTCCTTTCCTTTCTGATTTCTATTAGTTATTCAGCTCAAATATCCAACAAATATTTGGGGCATAAATTCCAAGCCAGGGGGCCAGGCATTTAGCTCAGTGGTCCTGCCGCTTGCTTTGCAAGAGCAAGGTCTGGAGTTCGATCCCCGGTACCCCCCTCCAAAAACAATTCCAAGCCAGGTAATTTATACCTACAAAGGAAACCTACAAAGGAAACATCAAACAATCAAAACAGAACCCTTGCTGGTAAGGGATGTACATAGGAAAGGGCGGACATTCAAACAATAACTACATGAAATGTGACAGATGCTCGCAGGTACTATGGAGGAAGAAAAAAGGGGGGCTACAGCAGAGTGGGTATTATTTTATATAGGATGAACAGATGAAGTCTCTCTGATAAGCCAAGGCTGAAACAAGCAAATGAGTGACCTGGGGGAATCTGGAAGGTAATGGGAAAAGCAGGTGCAAAGGCCCTGTGGCAGGGGGTTTGTGTCTTTCCACCAAGGCTGATGAACCCTTGGGCAGTCATACATTACTCACCAGAGAGCCTGGAGCATGCATCCTTTGCAATTATAGTCTTTTATTCAACAAGTACTTTTGTGGTGTCGGTTAGAGTGGCACAGATAGGAGTGTCTCTGCCCACCAAGGTCTTACAGCTTCACAGGGAGACAGCTGAGTTATCAGGGCACTGAGTGTGATTGGAGTCGGCTCCCAGAGGCCTACAGCAGCTAGGAAAGGCTTCCTGGAAGAGGTGTTAAGTAGAACAGGCTGGGGGCACCGGGAGGCTGGGGTAGGGAGACGGTGCAGACAAAGGTGTTGATGCAGAAGGTGCTGTGGGTCGGCCTGCGGGGGAGGCCACAGAGACGGAGCAGGTAGAAATGAGAGCAGAGACGGTGACACAGCTGCTGAAGTCACTGCCCTTGGAGACGGCAGCCTGACTTCAGGCACGGGTGGAAAAGGAAGGAGAGGGTCCGGAAACATCAGACACGCGGAAAGGTGAGATTTGCTGCTGACTGGAAACAAGGGCCGGCATGATGGCAGGAGGCAAGTTCCCGGGAGCTTCTGACTGCAGCAGGTGACCGGCATGGCGAGGGTGAGGTCCGGGAACCGACAAAGGCAGGCTTAGAGCGGTGAAGTGGGAGGTGTTAGCCGCGGGGTTTATGTGAGGATAGAGAAGTCGGAAGAGGGAGAATGAGCTGAATTAGAATACAGGGGTCCCCACCCCAAACTCCCCCAACCACCCCAGGCTCCGGGAACTGGCACACTCTACTGTTTCTGTGAGACCCATGTTTTTAGGTCCCACACACGAATGAGATCATGTGGTAATCTGTCTTTTCGGGCCTGGCTTAGTTCATCCGTTTTCTCAAATGACAGAATTTCTTTCATTTTCAAGGGTGAATAGTACTCCACCAGGTGCATATACCGCAGGATCTTTGGCCACTCAGGTCACCTGCACACCCTGGCTATTCTCAAGTGCACTGCAATAAACGTAGGGTATCACCCTCTCTTTGACACACTGATTGTGCGTCCTCTGCATACATTGCCAGAAGTGGGGTGGCTGGATCACGTGACGGTTCTGCTTTTCATGTTTAGAGGCCCCTCCATTCTATTTACCATAATGGCTGCATTAATTTACGCTCCTACCAACAGTACGTAAAGATTCCCTTTTCTCCACACCCTTATCAACATGTGTCTTTGCTAAGAGCTGTCCCAGCCAGGGTAAGGTAGAAATCTCATTGCTAGTCAAAGAAGATATAATCAGTTACAGTCACGTGGGAAAAATAAATTTAAACATATCTGTTGTACAAGGACTACAGCAAATGGCATTGTATTGCTTTCTTGAAACATTTAAGAAGCAGCTTTCGGGTACCAAAATGAAAATAATTCTTTAACTTTTATCAAATAAGTAAAAAGCCAGTACTATTGTTACAGCTTCTGAAAAAAAACTAGCAAAACTGAAAAGCAGGGAGCTACCATTCAGCCATTCATATACTTTCTTATTTTATTAAGAGAGAAAAATAGCTCTGTGATTCCACTAAAAGATCACCTGCTAATACAATGAAGTAGATCTGAAAGTGTTAAATTTCCATCTTATTAGTGAATTCCTCTTTGATCTTATGCAGGAAGACTCAAGTCGCCAGCTAAACCATTTTCTTTTTTACCCCTCAATAAAGAGATTGCAATGAAAAATCTTTTTTTTCCCCATGTTCTTCTATATAGCTAACTGGCAGACCAGAAAATTACATTAACTTATTTTGGTTTTACACCAATAAAACGTACCTTGGAAACTTGAAAAATAAATACATAAAGCTTGTAGATGCTGTATATTCTCAGCACAGAAACGGCTGAGATGGGAAGGCATTTCCTTTCTGCACTGGACGGGGCCAACCCCCCAACACGTGGAAGCATCTTGTTGAACATGATAAAAACGCACAACATTAGCTTTCAACTTAAATAATTATATATTTCAAATCTTTAAAAAAGAAGTTGGTTGGGGGGCTGGGGTGGCCGGGGATATAGCTCAGTGATCCAGAGCTTCCCTGGCACACAAGTGGCCTGAATTTGAGCCCCAGCACTGCCAAGAGAAGGAGGAAGAGGAGGGGGGAGGGGAAGGAGGGCGGAGAGAAAGGAGGCAAATATTTATACATTAATAGGAGAAGGATCGAGGTCAGGTGCCATGGTCTTGATACTTCGGGGTTTGTTTGTTTGTTTGTTTGTTTTTTTCACTATGTAGTTGAGACTGACCTGGAATTCACTGTGTAGCCTAGGCTGGTCTCGAACTCACAGCGATCCTCCTGCCTCAGCCTTCCGAGTGCTGTGATTACAGGCGTGCGCCACCACGCCTGGCTTCTTGATTCTTTTTGAAGTAGGGTGCAGGATATCTGCCAAGAATCATGGCGTGAGGGGTGATGCTTGCTGCAGATGAGGTTTATGAGGATGGAGAAAGCAAGGAGTGACCTCTGGGAGGACTCGGAGAGTACCCTGCCGAACGGAAGGAGGCAGCGGGCTATATCATGGGCCTTGTTCCTGAGAGTGCACCTTTGGGGGGATTTCCCACATCGGCACCAGGAGTAGCATCTTTTCTTTCCCCAAATTAACACTTTGCTGTACAGTGTTGGATCACCCATGCTCCTCCTGTCCAGTAGTGATCTGTTCTGTAAAAGCACTGGCTCTTTTATTACCCTGTGATTTTCATCAGGCCATGGAATGCCTGGTACAAGCTCAGAGCGTAAAGACGCAAGGTCTTCTCCAGCCCCTTCTCCGGTCTGTGCCTGACCATCTCAACAGCAGCCCTTGTGTCAGACAGACGAGGGAAGAAGCCAGAAGCCTTGCACGTTCTTTTCCATTCTGTGAGTCACTGTGACAAATGGCCCATTCCAGGCTGCCTCGGCCTTAAATATCTGAAATTGAGTAGAACGCAGGGGTCAGGTTTGGAAACACCCCCTCCTTATTCCTTTCCCTAGCTCTCTTGAGTCCCAAGCTCCTTGAAGCAGAAGTGTTCCAAGGCAATTAGCTAGGAGCACAAGATACCTTGGAAATCCATTGTGCAAACAAGCGCCTATTTTGATTTCTCTCCACTTTCCTTTGGGTATTAAACTTCCTTCTCATTAGTGTTTAGTTTCTGGGAATAAACATGGCGCCAGCCTCACGCGTTTATTTTAAGGATTAAATATGAGAAGTAATGGTCACGGACAACTTGACAGAGCAGTGCAGTCAGCATTCAGTACATATTGCAGTTGTTTATGGAGAAGCATTTGTATGTTTATATTGTGGGAGAAAGGGCAAAGGGGCCTTTTTTTTCACCGCCCCTTGCGGAAAATCACTTATCTCACTTACACCCAAGGCTGATGTGTGCCTGGGAAACTAATGCCAGTCCTCCCTCAGCACCAATCCTGGAGAGCCACATGGGTGCGAGCCGGCAATAAAAGACAGTGCACAGCAGGCTGCATTCCCATAGTCACTGGAGGAAGAGGGAGGTTCTGGCTTCTCACCCTAAGGTAAGCCCCGCTCTGTGCCCCAGCAAGCTTTCTTTGGATCCTGGGGAATTCACTACCAATGCTAGGGTTGTTTGCTTCTGGGAACTTGCAGAATCCCAGCAAGGAACTTGGATCTTGGCCATTGTAGAGTGCTCCTGAAATCTCTCTGTGTCCAGAGCAACCAGAATTCCAGCCACCAGCTGTCTGCTCTGAGCCTGCAGATGTCCCCTTCGCCCCTCCCACCAGAAAGACGGACACCCATCTGGTGCCAAATCTTCTCTAATTACAGACCGGTGCTCCTGACCTGCCCTCTCAGAATATATCCACGATATCCCTTCCAGACACAGAGTCTTCAGTGGAAGTCTTCTGGGCAGCAAGAAGTCATCCCAAGGGCTGCTCTCCCAAGGAGAGTTTCTCAGAAAAGGATGTGTCCTTTGAGTGCTGACAGGGTTTTCAAAGCTCCTTCTTTTCTACCTACCCACTCCTTTATTTATTAATTCATTCTTCACATCTTTACTAGGCAGCTGTTGTATGCTGAATTCTGGGCTGAGAGCAAGGAGCACAGAACTCAGTGTGATGTGGTCCCACCCTTCTAGAAATCTATGCACATAAGAGACTCTCTGGGAGCTCTGAGCAGGACCTGACACATCAAACAGAGGCAGGAAGTCATTACTTTTGTCTCTAGGCATTCACAGGCTCTTTATATCTCTCCGTCCATCCATCTCTAGGCAGCTTCCACTTGGATCCAAACAGGGACCATGTTGAGATCCCTCTAGGGACATTCTTCAAGACTGGCATGCTTTGGCTTCCTATCAACTTCGTCCCCTTGTGAAATTCCCTACTCCTGTTATCCCACCTCATTTCTGCAAGTCACACCTGCTTTGAGACTGTTTAGTGCTCCATGAAGGAAGCCAACTCTTCTGTATCCAAGAACATAAGGCTACAGCCCTCAGCAAGCTGCATAACTTCCAGCACGGCCCGGTGCTTGCACATGGGAGAAGTGTCACACAATGGGTGTGAACCAGTGTGAGCTCCTGTCTTCCCCCCACACACTTGCCTTGCCCTTATATGGGCCTTTATTCTCCTGCAGCTGCACGGACAGTCTGCGCACTGTGGAGTGACCTGTGTGCCTCGCCCTACCGGAAGGATGGTGGGCTCTGACTTCCTGTGGCTGGCCTTGGCCTCTTGCTTTCTGGTCTTGGCACTGACCATACAGCAAGGTGAGTGCTCACTTGGCATCACAGGTACCTAGCAGGACCTAGGCAGTGAGCAGGGCAGCCCAGAAACAGCAGTTTGGGCCAGCGAAAGCAAGGTAGGTGTAAAGCAGTGACTCTGAGTTGCTGGTCAAGGGAAACATAACAAGAGAAAAGGGAATCAAGTCCCAGTGCTTCAGAGCCAAACGGGTAAGTTGCCCGAAGGGGAAGAGAGAGGCACCAGTCAGCACAACTTCCCATGCCTGTGTCTGGGGGTGACCAGAGCTGGGATGGGAGAAAACAAGGAAATAAATTATCCATCACCTTGTGCTGGCAACTTCTTTCTGTTATCATTTTGCTCATCTGCTAGACTCAATGACATCTCTGCTATCTTCCTGATTGAATAGAACCATTTCTGATTGCTGATCTTTCCTTTTCTTTTCTTTCCTTCTCTCTTCTCTCCTTCCTTCCTTCCTTCCGTCCTCCCTTCCTCCCTCCAAAGATTCCAGGGGATGTGAGGTACGATAAGGTAGAGATGTAATGAAGGGATGAAGGGTAAGACCGGGCCATGCTGGCTTTCACGTCTGCTCTATGCCTGCTGGTTCCACGGCAGTTGCCAGCTTTCCTGAGGCTCATCAGTTCATCTCTGTGAGAATCAGGCAATTTAAAGATTTGTAGGAAGGGTCTCAGGTTTCAAACTAGGGTGAAATTTCAGCCTTGTGGAGGCGGCACTGGGGAGAGAACTCAGCGCAGGGTCTCTGATGAAAATACAGAGCATGCAAGAAACGAAGCAAGAATAAGAATGGTGGTTCCTCTCCTTAAGACAAACACATACATGAGAAAAGCTTGACTATCTTTTCCTCTAAGAAGCTCCTCTGACAGGAATCATCGTAACCCGTAACTGGAAACAACATTTGAAGACATACGCCACTTTGTCTCATTTATACTACTAGTTTCTTTTTGTTCACTGAAAAGATGTTTTGTCCTTCTATTTGTTAGTTTCTTCTTTGTAAGAAAAGTTTTTTTTTTTTTTTTTTTTATCCTGCGGACCATTTTAGCCACTCTTTTAAGATCATGATAACACAATATGTTAACCATTATTATTTTCTAATTATTTCGTGATGAAATTGTTTTATTTTTCATAGCATAAGAGTGTTTTTATATTTTCCCCATGACTATTAATACTGCATTATATTAAAAGAAAAAGGAAACAAAGGGACAATACCACACACAAAAAAAATGTGAGCCCGTGTTGGGCCTTTCTCTGTCATGCAATCATGTGCTACTCAGAGCACTCGGCAGACCGGAACCAGAGCGAGAACAAGCTTGACTCAGTGCAGGGCTTGGCATTTTACAGAAATCATCTCCTTGCCTCCTCTAACAACCCTTTCTGCTTTTATTTCCTGAGCGGAGCATATGCAGCATCCCGCGATGATTCTGGCAGTGCCTGGAAGATTCTTTAAAAATGTTTCATGTTCGTGGATTTATTTTGATGTGCATTGTACAACCCACTCACTGCGTCTTAGACATCATTCCTTTAGATGTAACTAATTTTTAGAGGAAACCGTTTAAAGGAACCTTGAAAGTGCGTACCAGGGCAGGCAGACACGGGTACAGCAACATTATGATCCAAGCTGTGGGAACGCAGGTCGGGAACCATTGGCGGGAAGGCGTCTCAGGAAAGCTCAAGGCCCTGCCAACCAACGTGTGGCTCCAGAGGTGTGCAGCTGGATTTAAAGCCACCCTGACCAACAGCTGCTCTTACCCCTAACTGTTTCTCTACCTTATATATCACATCCCCCAGAATTTAAAAAGAACAAGGAAGGCCAACAATAAGAAATAGTCCTATGAGATCAATGGTTCTCAACTGGAGGTGATTTTCCTCCCCAAGGGGGACACTGGACAATGCCTAGGGGAGCCACTGGTACCTCGCTGATAGAGGGCGGAAAGTCTCTCCACATGCACAGGACAGGGCAGCCCCACAATGAAGACCGGTCACCTAACCTGTCAGTAATGCCAAGGTGCGGAAGTCTTCAACTATACTTCTCTGATAGGGAAAAACGCCTGTGCTGTATTAAATAAACATGCAAATGGGAAAAAAGCTAGTCGGCACTAAACTGGGTCTTATTTCTACAAAATAATTACTAATTTATCCACGTGGGAAGAAACTAGAGGCTGTAGAATAATTATATGAGTATCTTGGGGATATGATGGGCTCACAGCAACTTTAATTTCAGTATTTGTGCTGCCGGAGTGGGCACTATGACAAATTTCATTTTTACTTTATTCATTTTAATATTTGAAGTTTTCTCCTCCAGTGAGTCTTCATTACAATTATGAGAAGAACAAATATTGGTCAAGCAGGGCTTCCTGGGCAGCCCCACAAGGAACCTCTCTGTAACCCCAGGTGGGGAATGAGGGTTTGTTCAAGGCGGTGGCCCCAATGTCCTCAATGCCCATAAAATACCACACAAAGCTCTCCCCGATTATTCAAATCCCACGGTGATGACATTTGATGCTTCACTCATGGATTGTGTGCTTGTTGGCCTCATTAGGTCCCTTAGCACATAAAAAGGATAGTGTAAGAGGGAATTAAAATCTTGTATCCTCTGGAGCTGCTCAGTGAACCCAAGCATGCTCTGTCTGTCCCATTCACAGGTTACACAAGCACCAGAGAAGCCACTTTCAATAGGCAAGACCTGGCCTGCGGAGCCCCTGGCACCCCAGAGGCCGACATCTGTTGGGACCCTTGCCAAAATCACACCATCCTGGACCAGCCCTCCCGAAGCACAGAGCACGAAGATGCGGGTGACAAGGTCTGCGATTCGAACTTGTCCGGCTGGTACCGCTTCGTGGGTGAAGGAGGAACGCAGATGTCTGAGAGCTGCATCCCAGTGTACCGGTGCCAGACAGAGTCTCCCATGTGGCTCAACGGGACCCACCCCTTCCTTGGGGACGGGATCGTCCAGCGCACCGCTTGTGCCCACTGGAGTGAAAGCTGCTGTCTCTGGAGCACCAACGTGCTGGTGAAGGCCTGCCCTGGTGGGTACCACGTGTACAGGCTGGAGTCCACCCCGGCGTGCAATCTGAGATACTGTACAGGTGAGCAACACCTGCGGGCAGGGTGGCGCATGGGATGCCCGGGGCTCACGGAGCAGGGACATCTGGGGAGAGGGAGACCGGGCAGCTACAGCTGCTTCCACTAGGCTCCTGCCAGCCCTTACCCAGTGGGAGCGAATCCCGACCGTTACCAGCCCTTCCCACATCTTGAGTCAAGCCAGAAATTAGGAATCCAGAGTAAAATCTGATTTGTGCCTACAGCACATCAAGAATTCAGACTCACTGAGAGTTTTGTTTTCACTTGAGCACTACAACGTACCTCTCGGAGCCTCCACATTCTGATCGGAGAAACCGGAGAACAGCCCAGTAACAGCCAGAACATAGGGTTCACAACACACCTACTGCTACCCTGAGCACAGGAAGCCTATTAATACATTGCTTCCTTCCAGCAACTGCATTAAATAAGTGCTGTGTGCTGTGTGGTTACCCAGACTAGGGGTCTGGGAAGCTGACAGGTTAAGTAGCTCTCCAAACGGCACAAAGCTGCGATTTGAACCCAAGCACATCAAGCCCCGGCAACAATGTACTCAGCTAGCATACGCCGCCCCATCCCACACTCACCAGGACGAGCGAGCTGACATATGGAAAGTCACAGTGCCTGCCTAGCCTGGAGTAAGTCATTTGATGGCAGTTGCAGCTTCCCAATCACACTACCAGGTTGAGAATCAGGAAACCCACTAAGTATCTCACATGGTGAATGAGACTCTAGGGCCCTGCAGGAGTGAGGGGTTGGACTCGGGCGCCTTAGATCCACTGTGCTCTGCATGCTGACCCTCTCCCACCGTGCTCTGACTCCTAGACCCTTCCACTGCACAGAAGAGGTGTGAGGACACCTGCCGCCCCGAGGAGGAGTGCCGTATGGAAGACGGTGTCTGGGGCTGTTTCTGCAGACAGAACCTCAATAGCTCTGGTGAGCAGCTCCCCGGGGCTGGTGGCCGCTGTCCTGGGTGGGCAGGGAAGGAGGAGGGAGCTTCGGAGGCTCAGGAGAAGGGGTGGATCAAAGTCAGGGGTATGGAGCTGAGGGTGGCCTCTCCTGTATTCTTGCTTCAAGGCTAAGGGGTTTGTAAGGATGAGAGGGCAGGGTTGGAACAAATTTCTGGGCCATAGCCTCAGGAACCAGTTCTGGCAAGGGCGAGTTCCTGGGATAAGGGTACTGAAGAAGAGAATTCTACAAGTGGGAGTTATACAAATATCTAGAGTCTTCATGCTTGGCATACGGGCAGACTCCTGGGGCAGAACTCAGATAGTAGACACTCAAGAAATATTTGTGGAAGGAAGGAATGAGGGAATGAATGTATGCAGTGGCTCTGACCTTGGTCAGGTATACTGGCTTCACAAAGCAGAGTGCATCTAGCTCTGGTGATCATTTGGAAGGCAGGACCATGTTGCTTCTCCAAAGATCTCAATCCTCAAAGGGAACTCAGCCAAGCCTTCACATACGATGCCTGGAAATCTTGGACCAGAGATCTTTGCCAGGCTGAGTGTGAATCCCACCTGGGTCCTAGGATCCTTCTAGGCTAACCAGTCTCCTGTTGGGCATGGTGACATTTGCTCACTACTTCTGGATCGCTGTCCCTTCTACCAAGCTCCCTTTTGGCTTTCCAGATGTTCACAATTTGCAGCCTCAGCTGGACTGTGGAGCCAATGAGATCAAGATGAAGCTGGACAAATGCTTGCTGGGAAGCCTGGGATTTGGGGAGGAGGTGTTAGCCTACTTGAGTGACCGGACCTGCAGCAGCATCCTGCAAAGAGAGGAAGGCAACTGGATATCTGTGACCAGCCCTGTCCAGGCTAGTGCCTGTGGGAACATTCTGGAGGTAAATCGGTGGGTCTCAGGCTGATGGGACCCAGCTTAGTAACTGTGAGATGTGGGGCAAGTCACTCAGCCTGTGTGAGCCCCCAAGGTCACGTAAGGTCATATATTTTGGTCCACATAAAGAGCTTAGGACAGGAGGACACTTGCACTTAGCCAATGTAAGCCATGATTATGACTATTTTAATTAAGGTTGGCATGGGAGGGGTACACTGAGGATCACACATGTTGGTCCCTGACTCTCCCCTCTGGTGAGTCACTTGTTGTTCTAGTTTGTAGTTTAGGCTCCACATTCCCCTTCCCAGAAAGCATCAGTGTCACAGGAAGAGGAAGAATAGGCCACTTTGCCTCCTTGAGATCAGAAGGCGGAGTAGCTACATGGCTGATAACACAGACTCTGGAATCAGACAGATCTGAGTTTGAGACAGATGTACACACACCCATGTAGATGATATGTGGTATCGTTTTATGCCAAAGAAAAATGGAACCCATGCCATCTACAAAAACACCCTCTCCTTGGCCACCGACTTCATCATCAGAGACACGCTCATCACCATCAACTTCCAGTGTGCCTACCCACTGGACATGAAGGTCAGCCTCCAAACTGCACTTCAGCCCATTGTCAGGTATGGCGCTGACCCTTGCCCTTTGATCCATGACCCCGACTTTCAACACACTCGCATCTGGCATAGTTTATGAGGCCCACACAATGCCAGCAACACCTTTTGGGAGCTTACACTCAGTTGTTCCATGAATATTTGTTGATTGCATATGAACGAATTTTCCAGACATATTAAAGATTATTATTAAGAAGCAATACTGCAGCAGGAAATCAGGAACTATAACCTTGACAAAGGCATTCTCCTTGTGGAAGGAAGGCACTGAACAGATAATTACATCAACAATTTCTCACAAATGAGATAAATGCAATGTAGGACAATCACAGGGTGCGTTTGGAGCAGGGAGCAGGGGGCCCAGACCTCCTCCTGGTGAGTGGGATGGTAGAGAGGGGAAGACTTCACTGCCAACTTCAGATTCAAACTGAGGCCACCTTTGTTTGGATACATAGTGCCCCCATCCACACCGAACCAATTTGGACGGGATTCTATCTAGGCAGGACACGTGTCAGTTTTATTCATAGTTGCAAATCCTTACCTAGAGAGGGGCCTCACTAAATCAAATTTTTCATATTTCTAGACTTGCTATGGAATTTTCTGAGTTGGTAGAAGTCCAGAAATCCAGAGCGCCTGTCCCATTCCTTCATTATTTCCTGGGTTTACAGAGTAGAAGAAGCAGAAGGGATAGAAATTTTCAAGTTCAGTAGTTTTCAGACTATACTGTGTTGGGACCAATGGTCCATACAGAATCAGAATGAAGGCTGAGGGTGTAGAGCACTTGCCTAGAAAGTGAGAGGCCCTGAGTTCGACCTCTAGCAACAACAGCAACAACAGCACACACAGAGTATTTTTTCTTGTTAAAATGATGTTTAACTGAAGATTGTGAGCAGAGGGATGAGTTAAAAATTGTGACCCCATAGAACTGGTTCCAAACCCCATTCTCCAAGTATTAAGATGGTAGTGTAACACTAACCCTTATTTCTTAAGTGAGTGACAGATAAAGTCATAATGTAACAGCATAAAGCCAGTGAATGTAAGGAGTAGGGATTAGTGAATATGAAGAATAAAGACTACTGCAGGGAGATCAGTGCAGGTACTGGAAACAGGCTTGTCCATGTGTCCAATTTAGTGCCTATAAGCTAGTAAACACCCTATTTAAATGAATGATTGAATCGTTTACGTAAAGGACAAAGACATGCTTTTGTTTCTATAACCTACACATGTACAGAGGTTGATTTATGCTGCTCTCTTTGGTTAAAATCTGATGTTTTTGCTGTGGTTTTCCTTGTCTCAGTTCTCTGAACATCAGCGTGGGTGGGTATGGAGAATTCACAGTCAGAATGGCCCTCTTCCAAGACCAGAGCTACACAAATCCTTATGAAGGGGATACAGTTGTGCTGCCAGTGAAATCCATGCTCTATGTGGGCGCCATCTTGGAGAGAGGAGACTCCTCCCGGTTTAATCTGTTGTTAAGGAATTGCTACGCCACCCCCTCTGTAGACAAGGATGACCCTGTGAAGTACTTCATCATCAGAAACAGGTATCAGGTGACTCTGGGATTCTCTTTGGCCTCAACCAAATTTGGGAGAGAATATTCATCTCATCCATACCTGGTGATTATGTACATTGACTTGCTACCTTGGGAAAAAATTCAGTATTCCATACTGTAACCACATCCTCTGACCCTGATATTTTTAGTGTAGAACATTAACAAATGGATGGGCAGAATAAAGGAATGCCAATTATTTTCCATTTTGGTATTCTTCCTAATGTTGGCAATGAGATCACTGTTCAAAAAACAGGGGATAAGGACCCGAGTTCAATCCCCGGTACCAAAAACAACAACAACAACAAGAAAAACGGAACGGAGGGGAGGTAAATTGAGTAACAATAGACTATTACACATTGTAAACATTGATCAACATAAAAAGATATGATAAATATTATGGGACAAAATATCATACAGTACCATTAATTGACACAGACAAAGAAAAATACATGACTATGAGCCAAAGCACAGTAATACTATTTGGTGATATTTATATTTGAGCTTAGCTGCATGCCAAACTTTGGGCTAAGCAATATAGACAGCGTCTCCCTAACACTCACCTCCACTCACGAGGTGGATGCTATTATTTCCATGTTTTGATAAGAACACTGAGGCTCACTAAGGTTAAATAACCTGCCCAGGATTAGTTAGCTAGAAATTGGATTGTGCAGCACATCAGATAGGTCTTTCTCACTCCAGAGACTGTGTCCCAAATAATTTAAAGTATGTGAAGTCATGGAAGAAACAGAGGAACAAAAAAAGTCTGCGGTCCCACGAGGGAAGGAACCTGGGGTGGGGGTGGGGCGTGTACCTTTCTCATTTCTCCGATGCTCGTCCTTTTCATCCTTCCAGCTGCCCGAATCAACGCGATTCCACTATCTCTGTGGAGGAGAACGGGGTGTCTTCACAGAGCCGGTTCTCAGTTCAGATGTTCATGTTTGCTGGAAATTATGACCTAGTTTTCCTGCATTGTGAGATTCACCTCTGTGACTCCCTTAATGAACAATGCCAACCGGTGAGTGTCTTTTTGAACTGGAAAATTCAGAGTCTGGCGTGAAGCCTGGCCCCGGACAGCGTAACTATGGGAAGGATGGGTTGATGGGTGGAGGGATTCATGGGTGGATGGATGGGTGATGGAAGAAGGTAGATTAGTTGGGTGGATGTCTGAGGAGACCGGAAGACAGATGGGTGGCTGGATGTGAAGGCGAGAGGGAGACAGGAAAGAAGGGAGGATGAACAGATAGATATGTGCCAGCTGAGTTGTGACTCTAGTGCTCATGCTCTTTGTAGCCCCACTGGCACTGCCTTGAAGAGTTGGCATCTACTGAGTGTTTACTACGTACCTGGGCACATTCTTTGTTCTAGTCTTTAAAACCAGGTACGTTCTGTCTGATCGTCATAGAGCAGCAAAATCATTTATCCCAAATTGCACAGCTAAAAGAGAGCAGAGATGAGACTTCAAACCCAGATCTGTTTGGCATAACAGCGTGAACTCTCTAAGCTGAGAAAAGCACAGCATCAGAATTAGGGTCATGTGAGGAATAACCCAGTGTTTAGCCCAGAGCTGGCTGAGGTGGGGGCATAGCACTCAGGCTCTCCATATATATTTATTGGGAGGATGGACAGATGGATAGATGGATGGATGGGTAAAGGTAGATCAGTCGTACCTAAATTGTTACATACTAAGATAATAAAAGTTTTGTTTTGCTTTGTTTTGTTTTGTTTTGTTTTTGTCTCCCCAGTCTTGCTCAAGTAATCAACTCCGTAGTCAACTGGACCTTGACCTAGACCAGGTTTTAGATTTGGGACCCATCACTCGGAGGGGTAAGTGGCTGAGTCCTCATGAGAAGGTCAGCTTGCGAAGTGCTGGCAGTTAGCACAGAGGCCGAGGGTAATCAGTGCTAACTGCTCAGGACTTTTCTGCCTCCTCATTCCAGTTCCCCCGAGGTGACTCCGTCTTTCCCTGGTGTGGGATGGCACTGGTACTGCCATTGCGGTGGCCTCCTGTGTGCTGCAGACCAGGCTTCACTCTTGCATGCAGCCAGTTCCTTAGCCCTCCTATGACTGCGTCCATTTTACAAGGTCCACAGGGATAAAGGCGTCACCTAGGATCACCTTGCCCATGAGTGGCAGCAGGTAGGGTCAGACCCGGCTCAGTCTGACTCTAAAGCAAGTGACCTTTTTCTTATTCCCCCTACTTCAGGTCCCTATAACTCAGTCCCTTTTGGGTGAAGTCTGAGTCCTGACTCCCATGTAAATGTAACTTGGTTTGCTGGTGAATGATTGTGCACAGTATCCTGAGTGGGACACGGGGAAGCTTTCCAACTTCTCCTCAAATTTCCATCCATCCTTCACATGAGTTCACAGTAATGCCATGATTTTTATTTCCATCGGAATGGAGGAGTCAAGAAATCCAAAAGAAAAAAGAAAGCGATTTTCTTTTTTGCCCTCAAGAAATTCAGATGTGGTCCTATTAATGGTAGTCACCATAGCAGTGCTTTCATTGTGTCTGACACTGTGCTACACCCTTTCTAGACTTTAAAACATTGAATGCTCCCATGAGCCCAAGGAGATAGACACTACTGTTACCCTCATTTTACGATGAGCAGATGGAGGCTGTCTCAGAAGCAAGACTTGCCCTGGGTTGTCTTGCCCCTTTATCGATCCCTCAACTTGAAGCTTCATGTGGGGTTCAAATCCCAGCTGAGCTATCAGTAGTCAGGGGTCAAGTTCGCAAGTCCCTTAGCATTGCTGAGCCTCAGAATTCTGTCAAATGGGGATGGAGAGGCTTCCCTCATGATCTGTTTGCAGGGTTAAGTTTAAGACACATACGATACATTTAGAAAGGTACCTACCAGATAACTACAGATGCCTCCACCTTGAAGACGGCCCATGTTTGTGGAGACTGGGCCCAGGAGGGCTATGCAGCAGCCACAGGGTAACAGCTAGCAGAGCATAACTTCTGCTCTTGTCTGTAGGTGCCCAGGCTCTTGGTGTCATAAGTGGAACTCCCCAAACTGCAGGTATGTTTTTTCCTTTCATTTTTCTCACAGCTGTCCAACTCCCTCTCCTTCCCCTTTCTAGTCTGGTGCACTCTGATTCAGCTTTTTCTGCACACCAGGGCCCCGTGCTAAGGGCTGTGGACATGGAGAATGAATTAAACCCAAGACTGGCTCTGCAATGTAGCCAAGGAGACAGTCATTTAGCAACAAATACTCATCAAGTGCTCGGGGTGAGCCAGTCTTTATTCTAGGCACTGAAGACACCATGTAAGCACAGTAAGCAAGGCAGATCGTGCACTGGCCCTCCAGAGCTTATGTTCCAGAGTGGGAAATAGACGAGGAAAGAAATAAACAAAAAAGTCACTCCACAACAGAAGGTCACGTGAGAGCATATTACCAACATGGATAATAATATTATCTTGAATCAAAGTTCATCTCTTACCAGAAGTGGATCAGTTCTCCAACTGCCTAGAAAGGGGAATGGCGGGGGCTGAAGGAAAAAGACAACAGAGACTTCTGTAATTTCAAAGTATATAGGGAACTAGAAGGTCAGTGCCTCAGAGCGGGCAAAGACAAAGACACTGGGAGCCGGCCACTATTCATTGGGTTCATGGAGAGTATCGGATGACTCTGAGGGCAGAGGTAATCCCGTAACAATGAGGGTCTTATGCTATCGATGAGGGTCTTAGGCGGATGAGGCACTTTTGTGAGAGGAGCAAAACGTTCTCACAATAGTAGGTCGGATGAGTTAAGCCGATAAGGAACTTATCCCTCCCTAGGTGAAAACTGTTCTCTTTTTGTATCACTCCTGGATTCTCAAAGAACCAGGACATCTTCAGCTGACATAATCTTGCCTTTGAGCATCACAGCACCATGGGACCACTGTCTCAGACAGCTCTCATCATAATTTAATTGTGAAATGCTTGTTTTCCCCCCAAAATTATGTAGAATGGCTTTGCACAGTCTCTCTCTCACAGAAATGAAATCTAGAGGCTGGCAGTCCGAGGTTTCTATGGTAGCACCACAAAGTCATCAGAAGTCCAGGTTCCTCCCAGCTTACCCCTTTATAATTTTCAAAGTGTAGTCATCATTCACATGGCTCAAGATGGCAGCCAGAGCCCCAACTCTCATACCTAGGAATCAGGACAGAGGGAACATGGAAGAGCTAGAGTGCTAAGGAACATTCTTGGAAGCTGGCACCTTTTGATACCTCCACTCACATTTCACCGGCCAGTGCTTAGCCACATGACCACACATGGTTGCAAAGGATGCTGGGAAATACAATCTTTAATCTGGGTGGCCACATGCCCAGTCAGTGTTTGATGGTTTTATTAAGGTAGGAAAGAAAATAGAAGAATTGTTATAAAAATATAAGAATGGTTAATAATAAGAACGATCAAGGAAAGTAGTATTTAACCAAATGAAGCGAAGAAGCCAACTGGACAAATACAAGCGGACTTGAGCCCCACAGGCAGAGGAAACAACAGTCCATTGCACAGTTGACAATGGCACATAAAAAATAAGTGACCAGAAAGTATATTGCATAGGAGGAGGACCAACTAACTGTATGGGCAACAGTCAGGGAAGAATTTTGTCAGGCAGAAACATCTCAATGGGGCTTTCATGAATGACTCGGATTTTAACAGCAGGTAAATCAAAGAAAAATATTTTGGACAAAATGGAAAGCGCATTGTTAAGATTTTGCTTTCTCCAAAAGTACCTGCATTAGCGAACCCAGACATAGAAAGGTTTTCTCTACCCTTAAATCCCCAACTAAAGTAGAAGTGCCTTGAAGTCAGGACCTCAGGTCTTGTTCATCTCCGTCACTCCTAGTTAGCCACAGTGTGGCTTCCCGGAAGTTTCCTGAACCGATTAATGTCTTAGGTGGGCTGAATTTAGGGTCTTTTGGAAAAAAGAGGGAATAGATATGATGCGGAGACAGCAGACCACCACAAGAGGGCCCTCGATGTTTCCATACTTTGCCATCTCCCAGTCATTTCTGCTTGTAGAATTAATGGGACATAAATCTGTTTCATCATGATAATCTGGTTGTCATACAATTATGCCTCTGGAAATTTTGCTTTTCCTCTCCCCACTTTTAGGACGTTGGTAAGTAACTTTGAATTTTGGAGGAAGGGGACATGCTGTGCTTTGATAGGGCTAACGGATTAGGAACACACGGTTCCCCTGGACCCTGATACAAGGCAACTGTCATCTAGGATCCCTGCCCTTCCTTAGCACTAAGTAGACAGTGATATGCAAAAGAGATACGATCACAGCTCTCTCAGATCTTCAGTCTAATTTTTAAAACCATCACTTGCGTGGGCCTTACCATGTACCATGCTTTGGTCAAGTATTTAACTTGACATAAATTGGCCCACTTCAGCCTTACAAACATCCTATGAAGTGCTATTAGTATTTTTATCTGCACACAGGAAAACTTAAGCACAACTGCCCAGCTAGTTGTAGAACTGGAATTCTAAGCTAAGTATTCTCAGAGACAGGGTTTTAAAACACCTGTGTCTTTCTACTTCTCTAGTACTAGCCAGTGTAAGTCATTCTAGCTGCTCTAACAAATAATCCCCAATCCTCAGTTCCTTTACACAACAGTATAATTCCCCCTCCAAATCAATACGGGGTACCATTCTGTCCCTAGATGTCACGGGAAACTCAGGCTCTCACTGCTTCTGGTAACTTCTGGAAACTCCACTATCCCCTGCAAGCCCTATCCCGAATCCTGTGCAGCTGGTTCCTAGGTGATTGATGAGAGGGCATAGAGCATTATATTGGAGGTTTTCAGGACCAGGCCTACAGATGGCATAGATGACTTCCATCCACATTTCATTAGCCAGTTTCGGTCACATGATCCCAGCTAGCTCAATCTGATTTCCCATGCCCAGAAGAAAATGGAAATGGTGGTGCAAGCCTGTAATCCCAGCACTCTGGAAGGCTGAGGCAGGAGGATCACCAAGATTGAGCCCCAGCCAGAGTACATTAGAGACTTAGCAAGAGCCTGTCTCAAAAGAAGAGGCAGGGGTGGGGTGGGGTGGCTGATGATTACACAGCTTTGTTTCACTACGTGATTCACAGGAGTTGTGACTCAGATTAGATGAAGCAAATGACAAAGAGGACAGCTTGTGTGTGCTACCGAGTCACAAAGCCCGACCTTGACTGTCGTGTCTCTTGTGTTTCAGGGTTCCTGGTGGTCTGGCCCATGTACCTCCTGCCTGTCCTCCTGGCACGGCTGTTCTAAGAGCCCTGTTGAGTGTCTGGCCTTGAAGTCCAAGTTCTTCACCCTGACAGTGCCTCCCATTCTGAGGGAAGAGCTTGCCCCTCCTTTACCACCCCTATGCCTTTGTACTCCTCTTTTCCTCATGGTGGGGGTCCGGTCAGCCTGTCCTGGGATGACTTTCTCATTTTCTTATTCACTTGTGGGAGTTTGAAAGCAAATTTGCTAGGTGCCTCTGTGGCCACATTCTTCACCAGAATGGTACGTTGATAACTCCAGTCAGCAGGCGTCCTGTCCCTGGGTGGAGGCTCCTCCACGAGTCCTCCCCAAGCGCCTCCTGCCTTACTGTGGATGAGTTGAATGGACCACCCTTGCAATCTCTCTGTCTCCTTCAATGTGTTTCCATTCTGGTCGCAGCAGTCACTGTGGGAACATGGGGGCCACTTAGGGAGTTTCCCGTTGGGAATGGTCTTGCTCCTCCTCTGTCCCCCACCCCACCACAGTGACTTGCTTAGCACAACACAGATTCTTACCCCTGGGACTCAGACATTGGAGGGACTCCTGACTTTGAGGCAGAGGCCCGTCACCCCCAGAAAACACCTCTTGCTGTTACACTCGTGGCACACCTGCTGTGGAGGGTGAAAGCAGGGAATCCCAGCAGAAAATGGTACACTCATCCTGCTGTGAGATCATAGCAGAAGAAACCGGGGCATAAGCAGATGTCCCTCCTGAAGAGCTTTGGTGAAGATTCCTCAAAGATATCAACAGAGAAAGCTTCCCCTTCCACAACTACACGATGGGCCTCTGCGAGCTGGCCTCAGGGAAAGCCAGGAGTCAGGGTGAGACCTCTGTGTCTGCTGGGAGGAGAGTTTCCAGTGCTCTGTCTTATCCAGAGAGGGTGTGATTGCAAGAAACAGAAAACCATTGCAACTCAGGAAAAAGAGGAATCAACTCTAAGGATGTAAAAGCACAAGTCCAAGGGCAAGAAATATATCCTGGCTGCCCCACAGCTGGCAGTGCCATCAGGAAAACCATGGGGCACCAAAGCTTGTTTGATTTTCCACCTGTCACTGTTCCCGAGGTTGTGTAACTTGTTGTACCTGCTGACCTTCGTGTGTCTCCTACTTCCTTCCCATTTCTGGAGCCAGCTCTCTCTGTCCATCCATCCTTTGATTGAAAGGATCATTTCACATCTACTCTCAATTTAGGGAGCAACAGAGACTGACTAGCACCTTGCTTTCTCAGATCCAGATGGCCCCAGAGAGCTTCAAGTTCACTGCTGGGGTCAGATTGCCTACTCTGGTCCACAGACCTGAGGCCCGGTTTGTGGGACCAGCTGGCCCGACACAGCTGATCTGACAGGGCAGGTCTCAAACAACGGCTGCTTCTTAGACAGACAGCCCACAAGGCCCCAGGGATACCAGCTTCTTTAAGAGAGGAGTTCCTGTTTCCAAATGAGTTAGAGGATTCACACTGTTTATGTTCCCAGGGTAAAAAGAGTGGAAGGAGAAAGCCTGCTACAGAGACCAGGAGGTTCCAATCTTGCCCCTCTCTAAGACTCTCCTTCTTCCTTCTGTAGAATAAGAAGGGTTGGGCTAGAATAAGGTTGTCAAACATTTAAAGTACAGAACCTTTCCTTTAAATATAATTCTATATGGGCATCCAATACGCACAAATCAAAAGCAAATAGAGCCTTGCTGATATCAGGTAAGGGGCTTAGCTTTTCCAGTATTCCATTTCTCGGGTCTTGAAACAATTCCACAATAACTACAGTGACAATGGTTTGGAACTTCCTGGGACACAGGAGCTTGAATACTGCTTCCAGAATAAAGTGCACTGGGGTCCACATAACTACAGCCAACACTGGCTGTCTATCTGTCTGTCTGCCCTATCAATATCCATCCATGTACCTACCTGCTTATCACAACAGCTCTATCTGTCCTCTAGTTAGCCCCTTCTTCAGGAAAAATGCTATGTGAGTAACAATCCCTAAATAACCAGTCTCTGTCATTCATTCAGTCAACACAAATTTGCTGGGCTGCTGCTATATTCCAGGTCCAGGGGCCCAGGTATGAAGGTGAATAAGACACAGTCCCTTCTCTTAGAAGAGTCCTAATCCCAGACACACAGAGAGACACTCACAAGCAGACCACACCAAACATACAAACTTGCTGACCCTCAGACCCAGGTCCTTGTGATTACTGATGACTCCAACCACGACAATAAACCCTAGCAGACATACATACTAAGCTCATGTGCCTAAGGGCACATCTGCACACATGAGCACACACACATTCTCACAGCCACACATGGATGCACATTTTTACACACAGCCACACTTGGACCCTACAGCCCAACCACTTATATATTTATCGCTGCGAATGATTTTGTAACAACCAATGGTTTTTTGCATGCCTTCCTTATTAGGCACTTTTTTAGTGCATTATGGAAGTCTATCATCCAACCATCACAGTAGACATTGAAGGTAAGTACTAGTATTATCCCCAATTTAAAGATGAGTAAGCCAAGGCTCAAAGAAAAGAATCACTTACCCAGAAGTCTATACCTTTTAGGAGCCGAGTTCAGAGCTTGAACCAGACTTGAGAGCATTATGATCTTAATTAAACACTGTGTCCTACCTCTGCTTCTATGACACAGACACACACACATATGTAATATAAGGAATGATTAACAAATATGGTGAATGTTTAAATTCTAAAAACATTATTACAGTGAAAGAAGGTCATCATTAATTTCCCTCCCCCACTTTGAGTGAACTTATCCCATTGCTCTTGCCACTTTCTGAAGCAGCTCTGGAAGTCCTCTTTCATGAGTGTCTCTAGTTGCCCTATTGTGGCTGCCTCGATGTCCTGAATCAATTTCAAAGGTCTATTTTTCATGGTCATGTGATTTCAAGGAAGAGTCAGAAGTTTCATGGCACCAGATTGGTGAATCAAGTGGATGAAGACACACTATGATGTTGACCACATACAGGCACACGGGAGCACATACATCTGGACATTCCTACATAGACAGACATACAAATTTGGCAACAGAGCCCCTCACATATACACAGACATTGACATTCATGGACATACAGGTGCGAACACATGTATACTGCCATGCATGCATGGTTGTTCAAATGCATACAGATCTGCACATAGAGCTTAATATAGAACTGAATTCAAGAACATTCACATGTGATTCTGAAGAATGCACACACAAACACACACACACACACACACACACACCCCTCTACATGACACGGGACTCAGATCTAACTTCCTATGATTCAAGCAGGACTCTAGCCATGTCTCTCCTCTCTCATTGGCTTTCTTTCCCCTGACCCTAAGTGCTACCCAGCTGGGCACCGAGCAAGGAAAAGTCCAGCTCAGGAGGAACAATGAAAATGGACTCTGGACCCAGCACCTGGAAGTTCAGGAGCAGAGAGACGACAGGGACAGACAGAAGGAACCTGACTCACCTCAGGGGCAGTGGCCTCTCTGTCCTGAGAGAGCATCTGCCAGGAGCTGGTGGAGAAACAAGGGGTGTAGCAGAGCCCAACCCTGCAGGAACTTAAAGTCAGCTCTGAGAGGTGGAGGGGGGAGGCATGCAGATTCCAGGCAGCAAAGGCTAAGAGAAGTAAGGCAAACACTGCTGCTGTGCAGAATAGCAGAACCGGAAACGGACGGTGCCCAGAGGATTGGAGGCAGTGTACAGTTTTATTTACACCAACATACTGCACCAGTATCTTTTTCCAAAAAGCCAGGCCCAGAATATCTGTGGGCTGGCAGTTTTATAGGGTTGCAAGCAGGAGGTACAGAAGCAGAGGCAGAGTATTTGGCAGTCTTTGGTTGGTTATTTGTCATTTTTTTTTTTTATATCTATGAGGCTTAATTCCACTGGCATTTCCCTGGGGATGCAGGGAGCAGAGTTTACACAAGGCAGAGTTTACACAGAGCAGCGAAGGGTGGGCAGAGCAAAGAGTTCTGACAGGACTTTCTGAGTTCCTCCGCTCCTTTGGTGATAAAATCACAGAACTTGTCATGGCTGCTCAGGTACATTCTACAAAGAGCACAGTTGCTAGTCAACCCATGACTGCTTAAAAACAGTTGACGCACAGTTGTCCGATTTATTTATTTTTTGTTAGAAATATATCCATCTGCCTAGAAATTCATCTATCTTTCGCTACAAGATGCAGAGAAAGGACAGCTCAGCCTAGCCTGGGGGCAGAGGGAAGCCTAAACCCCAGTGAGTTTAGTCCTCTCATTTCACAGACTGGAACTGAGGTCCAGCAAGGAACAGGGCCATTAACCCCTCACAGAGCTGTGACCAGGGTGGGAGCGAGGCAGGCAGGGAGAAAGGTGCAGCCAGGTGTCTGAAGGAAATGTGGATCGCAGTGGGTTAGATCTCCCAACCTAATCCTTTTCATCATTTCTCCTCTCTCCCTCCCTCTCCTCCAACCTCTTTCTCCCACGCAGGGCTGAAGTCACCCTCTTATTTTCCTTTATCATCATATTAGATTCGCCCTTCTAGAACTCTATTAAATCCATCCACTTTCTGCAGCCCTGCTGACCCTGATCTTTTCCAAGTTGCTGTCCTCTCTTACCTGGGCCCCTGAAATGAGAGCTTCTGAGTTGTGCTCCAGGAGCTCACCCTCTTCTCTGTCCTGCAGCTCATGAGCAGCACTTAAAGCAGAAGCCATTTATTTGTTTCCGGTCCTCCACTCGCTCCTTACCTTCTATGGGCTGAGCTCTGCCTGCCTACCAGGCAGACCGGGTTCTCCACCATCTGAGCCACTGCCTGACCCTCCAGCTTACCCTCTGTGTGTATCCCCTGCACAACCCACGTTCCAGCCTCACCGCCTTTCTCATTGTTCTGATTTTGTTTTTGGTAACAATGGAAATTGAGCCTATACCCTTCACACTGAACTCTATTTTTAGTTTTGTTCTTCTTTTTAAATTTTGAGACAAGGTCTCGCTAAGTTTCCCAGGCTGGATTCTAACTAGTAAATCCTCCTGCCACAGCCTCCCAGAGTGTGAGGATTACAGGCTGTGCTATCAGACCCAAGCTGCGCTGTTCTATTTCACCCCATCACAGTGGGACACCAACTTCAGACTCCACTTTGGAATACTTTCTCTTGTGACCTCCCATACAGTCTAGAATCAGTCACACCCTACACCATGACCCCTTCTCTACACACTTTTATTATCGTATATATCATCTGCAACTAAGATGATCTATGTTTACATCTACCCCAGTCTCTGCCCTCTGTCCAGACACTTAGCTCCTCGAGGACAGGGACTTGGCCATATTCAAACATTATTGGCTGCATAAATGAAGAAGCAGGCTACTTCATTTCCTCTTTATTTCTTGACCATGCTGCTACCTTCTAGAAGAAAAGGAACAGCTTCGTATCAGAAATAAAGGAGACTTTCTCATTTGGACAATCATGGCGGAAGAGCCAAATCCAAGCATGAAATGGGAATTTTGGGCTCAATCCCAGATACTCCCTGGCACCCCGTTTTCAGCCAACTTTATAAATGGCCCAGTTCTTTCTTCTCAGTTCCCATCTCCTGCGGCTTTCAGGGGGATTGTTTGTGAAGTAGATAAGTTTGTGCGTGCACGTGAGTGTGTGTACGTGTGCCTGGATGAGAGGGCTGTGAGGGAACCGATACAGTGGTTATGGCTAAGTGTAAGCTCGAGGGTAATCACTGTTTCATGACAAGAGAAGAGGGAAAAAAGTCAACCCATAAAGAGTGTGGGAGAACTCGATAAAGACAGCAGCCAGTCAGCGATCAAATCTGAGAAAGTTGGGGAGAGAGGCTTTCAAACACACAAGCCGGAGAAAAAGCACTAGGGGGCTGGGGATGGAGTGCAGTGGTAGAGCCCTTGCCTGTCGTGCCTGAAGCTCCAGATTTGATTTTCAGGACAGGAAAGAAGGAGAAGAAAAGCGTTGGTCTGAAAAACCAAGCAA